TTTTTGATTTTTTGACATTTTCATTAAAAAGGCGATATTTCGGATATAATAAAACTATTGGGGGCAGTCCTTCTATTGAAGCACTGTCACCGTTGTTAGAGGATATATTTAATTGTGGAAGAAAAAAAAACAGCGATATCTCGAAAACTACAAGGATTTGGAGGCTCATATTTTCAGGGTATATTCGCAGCTCATATATAGTTGTCGTGTAGCATTTAACCACTGCATTGAAAAAAAGGGGAACGTTAATTGAAAAAAATATTTAGTTAAATCGCAATTACCCAGAATAAAGCTATCCCTAAAATTGGGGATAAAAATTATTACCTCATTTTTAGTCATCTTTTCAATATTTTGGAGCAGTAAATTATTCTCGTTGAGTAATTTAAGTAATTTCGAACCTCGATTAGTCGGTGAATTTGCTTTAGTGTTATTCTTACAACAATGGGTAATAAATGAAGTATATTTGGATTTCCTTGTGTTGTAGCTGTAACGTTTCAAAGAAAACATTGTATTCAAAAAAAGAGTAGAATGTTTTTGATTCAAAGAACGAATGCAAAACTTTAACAGATCATAGATGTATAGCTCATAAACAGTTAAAACTTTATTATCTATCAGAGCTTCCGTTATGCTATCATTTTTATTTTTGAAATAAATCATTCGAACAATTTTCCGTTGAAGAATTAATATTTGGTTTAAATTTGAAAAACTGGTTCCACCATAGACTAATATGCCGTACTGTATTACAGGCTTAATATTCGACTGATAATACTTAAATAAAATGGACTTTGGAACATAATGACGCATTTTAGAAATAACACCGCAGTGCCTTCCCAATTTTGTTTTAATTTTTTGAATATGATGAAAAAATGACAGTTTGCTGTCTAAAACAACTCCCAGATATTTACAGGAAGGTTCAGGCTTATACACAGTTTCAAGTAGTTTTATATCGATATTAGAATCACTTCTATTTTTATTAAAATTAATTACAGTTGTTTTGTCAGTGTTTATTGTTAATTTTTTTGCACACAGCCAGTTCGCGACGTGTGTCGAGTCATTTTGAAATATTTCGATGCTGGAGCTTCTGCTAGTGATATTAGTATCATCCGCAAATAGGAAAACATCGGAATGTGACGTTACATCATTTAAATCATTGATATATATATATATAAGGAAAAGTAGAGGACCTGGAACCGAACCCTGCGGTATTCCGGTTTTTATAGGTAACCAATCCGATGTAAAAACATTGATATGAACACATTGATGTCTTTCCGAGAGATAACTTTGAAACCAATGATAGCTATTTCCACGTACTCCATATTGTTCCATTTTTGACAAAAGGATTTTATGATCAAGTGTATCAAAAGCTTTTTTCAGATCAATAAAAAGACTACAATTAATGATTTTATCATTGCCTAGCCGAATGCGTTCAGTCAATTCTGCTAAGGCATCTATTGTCACATATTTTTCACGGAAACCAAACTGACGATCGTACAATAGGTCGAACTTTTCTAGATAATTGTATATACGAGAGTGCATAAGTTTTTCAAAAACCTTGCTGATACTACTTAATAGTGCAATCGGACGATATTTATTCATATCTGATGTGCTTTCGGCTTCATGAAGCGGTAAGATTATTGCCAGTTTAAGATTTTTTGGAAATATGCCCGAATTGAAAGACAAATTACATAAGTATGTAAGATATGGAGCTATGACATAGCAACTTCTAATCAGACGCAAGTTACTGATCTCATCTATTCCACAAGTTTGTTTGGGTTTTAAATCGTTTATGGTATTTATTACTTCCACAAAAGAACAGTTGAAAAGGAAAATTGATTTATCGGAATCATGATTAGTCAAGATTTCATTCACCGGCTTTATTGAGTTTTTCGCCTATTGTGGCAAAATATTCATTAAAACAATTAGATATTGATATGATATCTGATGTATACTCACCATTAACCGATAGATTTGTAATACGGGATCTCTTTGTTGATTTACCTCTTACTTCATTAAGTACTTTAAATATTTGTCTCGAGTCTCCAATACAATTATTAAATCTGCTATAGTAATACTCTTTTTTGGTTACTTTTATTAGTTTTTCAAATTTATGACGCTCTTGAATAAATGCTTCTTTTTTCTTGGTATTCAATTTGTCATATTTCCATACTTTATATAGTCGATTCCTTTTTGAAATCGAAATTTTGACCTTTTTATTAAATCATGGCGCGTTTGACTTAGTTTTTAATGTTTTATTTCGTATAGGAGCAAATAACTCTACCGATTCAAAAGACATTTACAAAATTCTTCATAAGCATCATCAATGTTATCATTATTTACAAGATTGGATGTCTCCAGTTTTTGCTTCAGGACTTGGTTAAAATCGGAAAGTGTTTTCTCTTTCATAAGAAACGACATATCACGGTATGAATTGTTTATATCGAAAAGCTTTTCATTGAAATCTGTTTGTGAAGTTACGGGATAGTGATCAGAAAAACATTCCTTGTCAAGCACTTTAATGATTGGATTATCATTTTTTCGGGTTATGAAATGATCTAAACAAGATTCAGTCGATTCACATAACCTTGTTGTACTTTTAGATAAGAACTCAAAGCCATTAGCTGTTATTGAGTTTAAATATGATTGCTGGAGATTATTTAATCTGAGAGTGTTAATATTAAAATCACCTGCTAATACAATAGGCATATTCTTTTGAGCAAGTATTTCTAATTCTTTATCCAAAGTTCTTCGATAAACTTATTTTTATCAAGTTGGTATGTAGGTTACAATTAGTATAATTTTATTGCCTCCAATTTCGGCCAGTATTGCCACAGACTCAGGTAATCTACATTCAAACCTATCAATTAGATTAACTTTTTCATCGAGTTGAATCATGGTCCCGCCGCCTCGTGTGTTTCTACTATTAGATATTACGGTTTGGAAGCCTTTGATTTTATACATATTAATATTATCGTTTTCATTTAACCACGTTTCAGTTAGGAAAAGAATATTAATAGGAGACTCGAGACTACTTAGAAGTGCTTCTAAATCATCCTGGTGTTTTTTTAATAGTCCATTGATCTTATAGATTCTTTGATCTTCCTTCCAGATAAAATATATTGTCTCTTCTCGTGTCCATGTTGATTGAATCCTTTCGTCTGTTTTCATAATACATAAAAAATTAACCCGCGCTGTGCTTAAATCTTCGAATATCTTTTTATCACCAAATCCATTAATTTGAGATAAAGTTCGTTTTTTGCGAAGAAGGTCAATCTTTTTGATTCACCGCGAAAAACTGACAATCACAAACTTGTCTCTGCCGGATCTGGTTGGCAGCCTGTGTGCAATGGAAATATCGGTACGGGTTATCTTTGCGTCAATTGCGTCTCCAACACTTATTACTTTATTGATTGTTGTTTCCACTTGTTCTCGTTTTCCATCATTACTCAAGGTTTTTGACAGGCCTATGATCTTCACGTTATCTCTACGATTGTAGCTTTCTAATAGTTCCGCTTCTGATAGGGTTCTCAAAGCTTCTCTCTTTTCCAGCGTGGAAATTTCTTCTTTCGTCCATAACATCATTTCGTTTTTCAAGTTAGATAAGGCTGTTCCAATCGCCGTCTCAACAGCGTTCTTGATTTGTTCTTTTATGTTTTCGATCATCTTCGGCATTAACAAATTAATTGACTTAGTAATTGCATCTTCCACTTGCTTCGAAAGGTCTAGTTGTCCTGCACCATTATCTTCTGCGCAGGGACTGAGTTCAATAAAGGGTCTCTTGTTCGTTGAGCTGCAAATTGGTGTCTGACCATGATATTTTAGCGTGGACATTTCGTCTTGAGGACCATCAACATCAACAGTTTTCATCTCCGTCTCTTTTTAATAAGTTTATCACAACAATTAGGCTAAAATAACAGGTCAAATATCTTTTCAAGTTTAAGCTCAAGACAACAATACCTTTTGTATGATAAAAAAAGCCTACAGAAATGGCTAGTTAAAAAGTCGAAATTTGTCTGAAGAAAAAAAACCCACCCCGAGCACAAATAATCCGTTACTTTCGTATCGAAAGTCGGAACAATAACTGAACGGTATGCAAGTTACAATGTTTTGCTTCAGTTTCTTTGGCGTTTATAATACCATTTTTGTTCCGATTTTTAATACGAAATTAACAAAATTTTTGTTCCCGGGAGGGTTATTTTTCTTCAGCCAATTTTCGACTTTTAACTAGGCATTTTTGACGGAATTTTTTATATCATTCAAAACGTATTGTTGTCCTGAGCTCAAATTTGAAAAGATATTTCAGCTGTGATCATTTTTTCGTAAATTTATGGGGGTTTAAAGATTGCCATTTTGGCCAATTTGGGACAATTAACGAGTAAGCGGAGATTTAATTCGTCTTAGAAATTATTCCAAATTGGTTGAACGAAGCTTATTTGCCATAATTGATTTGTTACAAGGAGTGGAATCTATTGTTTTGTACTTTATATGGCGTGTGGGGGGATGATTTCGTAAAAAAAAATCAAATTTTAGAAATTTTTTAAATGATTTTATTTTATTACATTTAAAATTTTTATGTTACTACGGCTCCAAAAACCTTAAAAGACAGTCGGAACATTCAGGGCTTCGCCCTGATACGAGCAGTCTTGTTTATTTTCAAGTTGAGTGCTATTCTTAAGCTAAAAGTAAGGCACATTCCACTATCACACAGCGAAAGTATAAAGGAAAATTTTTAAAAAATTTTGGAAACTCTTGGATTTTGTTTTATCTGCAGTAGCACTCTTTTTTTATTGCAGGGCCATTTTGTATTGAAACTAACACTGATTTATTTATCATTATCGATTTTTAAAAATGTTCAATGTAGCAGAAAACGTCCAAAAAAAGTTTTCGTGGAAACATAAAACTTGATGATCGAAAGGAACTAGCTGTAAGATGTACATGTGCGGAGAAGTAGAAGATGAATTTGACCGGAACATATCCTTTTATCGTCACACTTGTGAGTGTCTCTTATTAAATCTTCGGCCAGCTCGTTAGCTCCGAATTATTTTCACAGCATTTTGCATGGTGGCGTTTGCAGGTAATTTTCAAGGGGGCAGATTTTGAGAAGTTTCATAGGAAAATTGCAGACTTCTTTCAAGTGGACCAATTGATTATTCGAGCTGCCCTTTACTACTTTAAAAACCCTATTTTCCAAAGTTTTTAGCAAATTATTAGAAAAACGGGCCAAGAACCACGTTGTAGGGCATTTGTTGTAGAAATTCATCTGTTTTGACGACCGGCAAATAAGGCAACAGCCATTTTTGTGGACTTAAGGACGACGCTACACGCAATTCTCCACATTGTGTTTCTGAGAAAATTAAACAGCTTAAACTCGAAGAGCTCATTATACATATAATAACGCTTATTTGTCGTCTTAATGTCTTGTCGTCTTAATAGGCTATCTTCTTATTTATCTAGCATCGTCTACCCTATTCAAAGTTATTGCACGTTAGCGCCGTCGGCGCTTCTGAAAAATTTTCAAGTTTGGTCAATCAACAATGGTATTTACAGAAACAATTATTGAGGAAATGTCTTCTACCATCTGAAAAGATTATGATTGGATTTTAAGATTGCACTAAATGAGCTCAGAATTGAAAAGATATTTCATTAGTACTCATATCTTGAGGTCAAAAAATACCAATATGAGCAGTATGGGACACTAAAAAATTGCAAAAACGCAAACTTTATTAATCCAAAGTTATTCCAAGTAGAATAGAGGCAAGCTAGTTCATCCAAACTTTGGGTTAAAGAAAGCCTTTTTCGCAATAATCTACCTTTTCTATTCAACCTTCAAAACTAAAAAAAAAACATAAATATGTTTCATGCGAGTTAAAGGGAAGCTGTATCAGGGTTTTACCCTGATACGACCCGTCTTGTATCAGTTCGTGTGGAGCCTTATAGATCAATTGGCTCTTTTCTCCTCCTCCATTTAAGTTTCAAGATGGAAAAACAGTTTTAAGTTGTCACAATGAAACGAAGTTTTGTGGCTGGTGAACAACTCAACATTTGCGAACAGATTTATATTTCATATCTTACTTTGTTACATCACGCATTTAGCCCTCATAGCACGGAACACACTTATGAGGATAGAAAAATAGAAATGAGGGTGAAGAGGAAATGAGCCGTCTAGTTAAATCCATCAAATGCTTGTTAATCCAATAGTAAAATCTTACCTTAGGAGGGGAAACTGTAAATTCTGTTAGTTGTAAGCAGGTTGTCGAAAAATCTTTTTTGACATTTTTTTTCATTTTGCGGAATCCACAGACAAATTGCTAAAAGATTGTATATTTGCACCCAAATCTGAATCGCAATTATTTGCTCATTTCTTTGATCTTCTCCGTGTATGCGGATTCCGCACAACTTTGTTGGTGCCCAAAAAATTACAATACAAAGTTTTTGTTCGTCACTCACAAAAACCACAATTTCGTAATTGAATTCAAAAAGGAACAAGTACCCGGGTTGACCAAATCATACAATTCTCATAAAGGGAAACTTCTTTTCATACAATTCCATACAATTCCATACGTGCAGAAAATTGTATGAAATCTGTAAAATAAACATTTTTCGGACCAAATTAACATCCTCCACCCTAAACACGTTTAGGGGGAGGATGTTAACTTGGTTCTAAGTTGGGAATTTTCAGCCAATCAGAATCGAGCTTTTTACATGCAGCTCTTAACAAGTTTTATTTAAATTCAGCGCTGGGGTAGAGGATCTTAACTTGGTCTATTGGGGGGGGGGGGGGGGGGGGGGGGGGAGGATGTTAACTTGATCCTATTTTTCCATAAATGGAAATTATATGATAGGCGTTTTCTCCATAAACCAAAAAGTTAGTTTTTGTTTCTAAATTTATTTTCTGGAAATTCTTTTTGGTTGTGTTTGCAACCGAACACAAGTAACAAAGAGCTTGGTTACTCAAAGCACCAAAGGTTGGAAGGTCCTCCATTTACACTGCTTAGAAAACTACCTGAATTGTCTTCGAGATATCTTTCACAAATGATATAACAAAAGTAACAAACTGTTAATTTTAGGCAAAATTTTTCAATGATGATTTTTTTTTTGAATTTTCAAATTATCAGACATTGATCAAGGCATACAAAATACGTTATACAAAAAAACAGGAGTTTTCAGCGTTTTTGAAGAAAAAAACTTAAGAGAAAAGAAAAAACAGCCAATATTATCGTATCCAGGATTACATTATGCACACAAAAAATTAAACTTTGCATGCAAAAAAAATGTTTCGGAAAATGTTTGTTTGCGTACAAAACTCGATTTGCGGTTGAAAAAAAAACAAAAAAAAGGTTTGGAGCAAAATTTCAAAATTACTTGGAAATTTTTTTGTGTCGCAATAAAAAAAAAGCCAGTCATACAATTTCCATACCTTCACGAAGACAACTACTGTAAGTCTACTTTCCACGTGTAATTATATTCACGTGTTTGCACATGTTTGAACATTGCCATAATAAGAAATGAAAACTCAGTTATCGACTTTCATCAGGTTTTGCTAGTCACAAACGGGAAGTAACCGAACGCTTGGTTTACTCACAGCACCAAAGGTTGGACTGACTTGCAATAACAATGCATGGAAAACGACCTGAAACATTTTCGAGCAGTCTTTCACATATGATATAACCGTGTCTGTACAAAACAGTCCCATACAAAACAGTCCAATACAAAACAGTCCGGAAACGTATGAAAATGAACAAAAGAACAGTCCGATACAGAACAGTCCGAAAAACAGTCCCAATTATTGACTATTTAATCTTTTAACATTTTGAACAATGAGTAATTTTAAAAAGTTTTAAATTAGCAGACATTAATCAAGGCATACATAAACATGCCATAGAAAAAAAATAGGAGTTTTCAGCTTTTTTGAAAAAAGTTATTCAGTGAAAAGGAAAAAAAATTCAAGATTAGTGTATCCAGGACTACGTTATGCACACAAAAGTTAAATTTTGCATGTAATTTTTTTTTGAAAAATCCTTGTTTGAGTATAAAAATCGATTTGCGGTTGAAAAAAAAAACAAACAGAAGTTTTGGGGCAATTTCAAAATTACTTGTAAAAAGTTTTGTGTCGTCATCAAAAAATGCTAGTCATACAATTTCCAAGTTGAAAATGTGTGATAAGCATTTTTTCAAAAAGAAACCTCAGTTTTTTCATCACCAGACTGTTTTATTAGAATCAGACAGCCGCAGAAATTAGTTTATATCTTTTTCAACCATTACTCGAAATTGTACGACAAGCGTTTCTCCATACACTTAATGTATGGAGTTGTATGATAAGCATTTTTGGTGTGCGAAGGTCAACCCGGTTTTTTAGAAAAAAAAACACATTTAAATAATGAGAGTTTTCGTTCTCCGCTTAATGAGACACCTGAAAAAGGGCCTTGCTGGCCTAATGGTGTTATCCAATACTATTCCGATTTGTATTGTAAATTTTGATGAATAAGTCTGTAACTAGATATTGCTTGGGAACAATTTTTTGTTATTATATGAAAAAAGAGCCAATCAGGTTGCGAGAGCGATGGGGAAGTGTGCAATGTCTACCAATGGCAATACGAGAGTGATTCTCGCTTCACTCGCTGCCACTTCGCCACCCAGTGTGAGGAGACGAGGGGGGCTTACAACAATGAAATAAGGATGAAATTGAGAGCCAAGGATATTAATAACAGAAAGGGCGAATTAGCAGTTATCATCCCAGGCGACAACTGAGTTCAAATCAATATTGCTTCATTGGAATATTTTCAGAGTCTTCTTAATTATTCCAGCTAAAACGAAAGGAAGTAACATCATATGGGACTAAATCAGTGGCGTGCCGAGGGGTGCGGGGCGGAGAGAGTGGCGAGCCAATCCCCCCTACACCCCCCTCAATTTTGCCTGACAAAATTTTTTTTTTAAAAGCCCCACCCTTTGGTATAACTTTCTGACATCCATTTTTCGGTGAACAACCTCAAAATTTTTCTAAAGGCGCCATAGGCGCCACATTACTAATTTTAAAGGGCGAGCTCGCGCCAAATTTTTGCACACGCCACTGGACTAAATAAACGCAAAAATCCAACTGTGCGACCGCAATTCTCCTAATTTCAATCATTAAACGGTGGAATTTTTGTTTTTCTAAATACTCGATATTTTAGCAAATTAAGTGGAGTAAGTAAATAAGTAAAAGGCCTGATTTTGATTCTTCCGAGTCTTGGTTTCGTGTTAACCATGCGAAAGTTATAATATTCATTGAAGAAAAATTAACATCTTACTAGACATAAAAGTTCATTTCTGGAGCTCAAAGAAAAAATTTGAAGAAATAATTGCGTGAAAACCTCAATCGACGCGAGCAAAGCTCTTTCCTGCAGGCCTGTTTGTGTTGCCAATTTCACAAAGTGGGCCTAAGTCGATGAATAATGACCAGACTTTTGCGATCTTATTTAGGAATTCAGATTTTCGAGGCTTAGGCAAAGTCGGCGGGAACAGATTTTTTCAAAACAGTCCAATACAAAACAGTCCGGAAAAATATGAAAATGAACGAAAAAACAGTCCGATACAAAACAGTCCGAAAAACAATCCCAATTAATAATTGTTTAGACTTATAAATTTTTGCTAAAATTTTGAACTATGAGTAATTTTAAAAAATTTTAAATTAGCAGACAATGATCAAGGCATACATAAACATGCCATAGAAAAAAATAGGAGTTTTCAGCTTTTTTGAAAAAATTTATTCAGTGAAAAGGAAAAAAAATCAAGATTAGTGTATCCAGGACTACGTTATGCACACAAAAGTTAATTTTTGCATGCATTTTTTTTTTGGAAAATCCTTGTTTGAGTATAAAAATCGATTTGCGGTTGAAAAAAAAACAAACAAAAATTTTGTGTCGTCATCAAAAAACGCTAGTCATACAATTTCCATGTACGAAAATGTGTGATAAGCATTTTTTCAAAAAGAAACCTCAGTTTTTTCATCACCAGACTGTTTTATTAGAATCAGA